TGTGTGTGTGTGTGTGTGTGGGGGGGTCTTTCTCAGGGGTCCAGTTTGGGGCAGATGAATGTGAGGTCCGATGGGAGTGCTTTACTTTTCCAACCCACGTTTTGTTGTGACGTTCAGGGGATTACTACAGCCATTTCATGTGTTGTTGTTGCAACAGTTGTAATAAAATAAAATTGAACGCTGCGTCTGACGAGGTTAGGATCTCCTCTGTGGCTGTCCCTGCAGGTTTCTGATCCCCCCATCAGTCCTGCTCTGACAGTCCTGCTCTCTCCTCACTGGTTCCAGTCTTCAGCATGATTTGCTGTCGATGTTATCAGGATCCTAAATTACAGAAATGTTCAATAAAGATGTAAAATACATTTGATCATCAATCTGTTTCTACACGTATTGATGTGACCTCTGATTTTAATGACAAACTGCACTGAATAAAGGTGAGGTATAAACAGACACTAGATGGCAACATAGGGTCATTTTAATCTGAGACTTCAGTTTTCTGATCAGACCTGTTTGTTTAATCAGGAGAGTCTGAGACTCAAAGCTGATGTTATTATCATGTGTTTCTGTTTGATAGCTTTACTTGTTCTCTTATTTTGATTTTATTCATGTCTTTTTTGTTATACTTTTTTATTTGAGCTTCTGTAGTTTTTATGTGCCTAGAAATTTGTTGAAGTATGATATGGTATCATTTGTGTCCATAAAGTGTAAAAATGATTTGACATTTCTGTTTTATTTTTGTTTTGTTATGGTTATGGTATATGGGGATGGGCGAAACCCAGGTGAGCGGAGGCCTCGTAAGTGGGCCCATTACTCTCCCCAAAAGAGACACTGTGTTTTAATCAAACCTTCGCGTCCTTCGAAGGAAGGACACCAGGTTAGAAACACTCAGTGTTCTAAGCTTCTCAGCATCCATAAAAGGTTCTACAAGAATTCTTTCCCTTAGACCACTCAGGGCCAAGCATTGGCCCAAGTAGTGCAAAGAGGTCTCTAATTCAATGCCACGGGCCCTTCTTTGGGACCATTTGAGGGCCCATTACTCCCCTGCCGTGCTGTCCTCTGGTGGGTTGTGCCTTTGCCCGCCGGCGCACTGGTGGCTCTCGTTGTCCGGGGCTTGGTGCTTGGGCGTGTGCCGGTTCGGCCCGGTGGCTGCCTGGTGGGGCTTGGGTCCCTCTGGCCCTGTCGGGCCTTGGCCTGGGAGGGGTGCGCCCTGGGGGCCCGGGCCTCTGTGTTCATGCCTGGATCCACTCTGGCGCGGTGGGTACCGGCGGGGCCTGTGAGTTCGTCACTGCTGGCCCCAGAGGTTGCTGTGTGTGGTCGCTGGTGGGGCTCTTATGGTTCTTTCCGGTGGTCCTCTTTGGGGGGTGTGTGGGCAGTCCTTTGCACTACTTCCCAAGTAGTGCAAAGAGGTCTCTGATTCAATGCCACAGGCATGGCACAGACCATTTTCATGGAGTCCCATCACCATTTTATGGCGGTTGAGCAAGTTGTGCCCAGTTAGGACTCAACCAAAGTACTTAAAGTTTTCCTCGTCAGCACAAGAAGGGCTCTTCCAAACCAAGGATTCAGGCCATTCATCAGTTCCCGTGCCTGTCTACAGTCCATCATCTCCCTCCAGCAGGTTGCGTGCTGACGTCTGATCCATGCCTGTAGGGCAGTCCTACAGATTGTTGTTGAAACGCCCATAGCAGGCTCTGGTCCTTTAAAGTGGTCCTGACTACCAACTCTTGCGAGGTAGTCAGCCCCCTCGTTACCATAAATGCCAGTATGTCCTGGTACCCATTTAAC